AATCATGAGAGCAAGTACAAAGCACGAAAAGTAATTGTGTTCGAGTACGAGGAGGATGATTTTGAACAGAAGCTTTATGATCTTTTGAAAGCTTCCCCTATAGCTGCCCGTTTAATTAACACTGATGATTATGAGGATATTGCGGGCATGGTTCTTTATAAATCATACATAAAAAAAAAAAAGCAATTGGTCCATGAGACCTAGCAAAAAACAAAGAAAAGAAAATAGGTGCTATTACACTAACAATAAAATTTGTATAAATTGAGAGAAGCGAAAAAAAATATATATAAAGAACTCTTTGAGAAGTTTTTTAAATTCTTAATTCAATAAACCATTATTAGAACTAAAGCATAAGCCTGTATGAAGAATTCATAATTATATTCATGATATCAAATTAGGGATTGGATTTTTCACAGCAAACTCTGAAAAACAATAGGTCTTTAAATATCATAAACATGTAAATCATTTATTGTTTTGGGTTGATTTAAGAATCATCCCTTGCTATTTTGTAGAGAATTATTCCTAAAATTCGGTCATCAAACTAAATATTTTCACATAATTTTTCTCGTAATCTTAAACTGTTAAATTTTTACTTATTCAAAAATGATTAGTTGTCATAGTAATTTATTAGCTAGAAGAAAAAATAAAGATAAAACAATAGTTTTATATGAATGTGTGATATATTTGGAAAGGAATGAGAGAAAGTGGTATTTTCAAAAGAAAAAAAAGGTGATAGTGTTGGTGATTATCCTTAGAGGATTTGTGAGAAATGCATTTTCTTTGATACCCCTTTTCAAAAATGCCCCCTTTTTGGCCATATCTTTTTTTATTTTTAGTGACCATTTACCCCTTTTGAAAAAATATTTAAGACAACAAAATGAAAAATTGAACTTTCCCGCCACAAATTTTTCCGATAAAATATTTCTCGCCAAAAAATTTCCGACCAAAATTGTTTTTGGCTGGAAAACGTAATTTTTGGCTGAAAACATGATCTCTAAAATGTGTGCAGGAAATGAATTATCTGCTCTTACTAAAAAAAGAGTAATTTCGGTCTCATAATCTGTTTTCACTAATAAAAAGTAATCTAGTCATTGTGTTCATAAAAAAAAAGTATTTTTTTAAAATAGTAGAATAATAAGGATATTTTTGTAAATGTCTTTTTTTCTTAACATAAATAGAATTCTAACTTAAATAAAATTTATAACAAGATCAATATTGTTAACGCTAATGTTGGAATGTAAACTAGATGGTCAAAGACTCGGATAATTCTATAGACTGGATACAATTGACTCAGCAAAGAATGCATAAAAATATGCTCACCCCCATAACACAAACATTAGCCACTCCAGCTCCCAGAGATATCCTAAATGCCGAAGATCGTTCTCATCGAGCATTGGTAATATGGGATATCATGACTCTTAAATTCCCCTTCAACGTTGACCCTCCCGACTATTTTGATAATATTAAAAAGGCACTGTCTCTAGGAGGATTAAACGCCTTCGACATTGACGCATACATCCATGAATCTGATATTGACACACATCAATTTAGAGAATCACTATTTGCAGCTATTAAGATTAATGTGATTCAGATGATAAAACCACCTAACAAAAAGAGATCGGGGAAAGGCCGGTTGTCAGGTGCGGTTGCTGTGCTGAAACAAGCGAGTTTTCATATCTATTTGGCATGTCACAAGAAGACTTGTCCAGTTCTGAAGGCCAGTGCAACTAATCGTGTGCTATGGAGGAAGAGAAGAGGAGTGTCGAGGGGCTTTTGGGAAGAGATTTAGGTAGTAGTTGTTTATATTTGAATGCAAACATATTATTATTAGATATTGCATCAAAACATCTACTTTATTTACAGTATAATGTTTTATAAACTTCGTAAAATTTATTCTAAGTCAAAAGTATATTCAATTCTAAAAAAAAAAAAAAAAAAAAAAAAAAAACTAGATGGTCCGAACCATCGGTAAAATACCACTCTAAAAAAGCTAGAATTAATACAAGTTATTTTAAAAAAATATCATAAACTAAATATATATATATCTTGTTTGAGCTCGAAAATGGCTTACTAAAACTCATATTTCGATCATATCTATAATTTTCGACTAATTTAGTCTATATAATAATAAGATCATTAACCCTCATAAACCCCACATGATATTTAATACTCATATTAAATTAATACACATGATATGTAACGTAAAAGTACTAAATTAATTCCTAATCGAATAAAACGAGTATATATTTGTTCATTTATTAATCGTATAAAAACGATTTTGATCCAATCAAGATTTTAATTATTAAAATCCCCACGTTCTTTATGTTTAACAAAAAACTTTAAAGCAAAACGAAATATATTAAAAAAATAACTATGGCAGATAGATAAAAAAAAAAAAAAAAAACTGTAAAGGACGTTGAGAAGACGAAGACCGTTGACAAAGTCAACAACAAATACCAACCGTCGATTTGAGGCGGCTCTAATCTCAACCACACGATCTTCCCATCTCTCTTCTTCTTCATCTTCTTCTTCCTCGCAATTACCGCGAAAACTCATCTCTGCTCAATCCTCAGTTTCAGTCTCTATATTGACTCTTGACTGTTATATAAAAACCATATAATAACCTTCAGATTCACTACTTCAAACCTCAAACCCACCACTGAAGCTTGACTTTGATCGATTGAGAGAGAGAGAGAGAAATGAACACCGGCGGCGGCCAATACACAGATTTTCCGGCGGTGGAAACACACGGAGGACAGTTCATAAGTTACGATATCTTCGGTAGTTTATTCGAGATCACATCTAAGTATCGTCCTCCGATTATACCAATCGGTCGTGGAGCTTATGGAATCGTTTGGTATGTTTCCTTCGCTGAGCTTTTTCTTTAAGTTTCTTCTTTGAGATCGGAGTTTTTGATTATTTTTTGGATTTTGATTTTGTGAAGCTCTGTGTTGGATACGGAGACGAACGAGCTAGTAGCGATGAAGAAGATAGCGAATGCTTTTGATAATCATATGGATGCTAAGCGTACGCTTCGTGAGATTAAGCTTCTTCGTCATCTAGATCATGAAAACGTTAGTATTTTTCGTTTGATTTTTGTGAAATTATATGTAGAAAATTAGTGAATGAAATCATGATTAGGGTTTTGGTTTGTCAACAGATTATAGCTATAAGAGATGTTGTTCCACCACCACTACGAAGACAGTTCAGTGATGTTTATATCTCTACTGAATTAATGGATACTGATCTTCATCAAATCATCAGATCTAACCAGAGTTTATCAGAAGAACACTGTCAGGTAACTAAAACTGTTCTTGAGGTTTTCAGAGATTTATATTTGATAGAAGAAACATGATACTGATACTTGATTTGGTGTTTTTTGTTATGGAAACAGTACTTCTTGTACCAGCTACTTCGAGGGCTGAAGTATATCCACTCAGCTAACATTATACATAGGGATTTAAAGCCGAGCAATCTTCTGTTGAACGCGAATTGCGATTTAAAGATTTGTGATTTCGGTCTTGCTAGACCTACTTCAGAGAATGATTTTATGACTGAGTATGTTGTTACTAGATGGTATAGAGCACCTGAGCTCCTGTTGAACTCTTCTGATTACACAGCTGCTATTGATGTTTGGTCTGTTGGTTGTATCTTTATGGAGCTTATGAATAGAAAGCCTTTGTTCCCTGGTAAAGACCATGTTCATCAAATGCGATTATTGACAGAGGTAAAGGATTAGAGAGTTATCTAGTTTTAGTATGGTTTAAAGACTCTGCTTTTCCCTGAATATGTGTGGATTTTGCAGTTGCTTGGCACACCGACAGAAGCTGATCTCGGGTTTACACACAACGAGGATGCGAAAAGATATATCCGGCAACTTCCCAACTTCCCACGCCAGCCGTTAGCAAAACTTTTCTCTCATGTTAACCCATTGGCCATTGATCTAGTTGACAGAATGTTGACGTTTGACCCCAACAGAAGAATCACTGGTAAGTTACATATATGCATTACATATTCTCTGTTGGTTTCTTACCATCACTATGGTTTGATTCAAAACTGAAAATACCATCTTTGTGCAGTTGAACAAGCTCTGAATCACCAGTACCTCGCCAAATTGCACGACCCAAATGATGAGCCAATCTGTCAAAAGCCATTCTCTTTCGAGTTCGAACAACAGCCTCTGGACGAGGAACAGATAAAAGAGATGATCTACCAAGAAGCCATAGCACTCAATCCGACATACGCTTAGAAGAGCAGCAGCCCCGTGATTGCCCGGTATTACCCAATAACCATCCGAATGGCTGCTTAGTATCTTTGCCAGTTCTTTTATTCATGTACTTCTTCCACATATGTAATCTTATAATTCTATTTGTTAGTTCATGTTATTTACTACTAGTGATTGAGTGTAACTCCAATGTAAAGTACTCCATTTATGAAACCATATCTATAGACTGTTTTTACTTCACATACTTGAGACTTCCCTAGTAAACAAAGAGAAGAGAGAATATAGTTTTGTAATGTACCGATCTAGCCTGAGTTTCTGATCTCTCAAATTTAGTGGGAGCTATTGTAGAGAGCTAGAACCAGAGTCAACACTGTCGCCGTGAGTAGTCTCTTTCTCCTTTAATGACGTTAAAGATATTTTGGTGGGCTTGGCTCTACGTAGCTTGCATTATTGAACTATAAATGGTCAATTCCTTAGCAATAATTAGGCACAAATGTGTCTTTCTTTAGTAATATCCTTTACCTGACAATTTAGAGTTGACTTCTTAAACGTTGGGTTGGAAATAATTTTGTCTTTACACAGGCTGTTCGAAGCTGACAGTGATGGCTCAACTTGCATCAACGTAAAGCTTTGAGTTTTCTTTACTTTCTTAATGTTTCTTGTTTGAAGCTGCTGCGCATGGAGAATAAAATATCGTGGACCCGAGAAAGTCATCATTGCTGTATTATTACTTACACTGTATATATGTTTCAGAATTTCAGGCCATTGTTGACAAAAATAGTAAAAGATTTTTCTGCTTGATTTTGAAACATGGCTAGTTCAGTTACCGGCGATGCAGAAACAGTTAAATCAGCAGATTCAAGCACCAAACGCCGCGGTGGAGGTTGGATCACCTTTCCGTTTATGATAGGTGAGAGATTCTGTTTTTCTGTTTTTATCTTTTGCATAACTTCGTAACCATTAGAGCTTGGAAGAAGAAGTTGAAGCTATCTATCTTTCTATATGGTGCAGTTACGTTGTTAGGCTTGACAATAGCTGCGTGGGGTTGGTTACTTAACTTGATCGTCTACTTGATTGAGGAATTCAACGTGAAGAGCATCGCAGCGGCTCAGATTGCTAACATTGTTAGTGGTTGTATCTGTATGGTTCCAGCTATTGCAGCCATTGCATCTGACTCTTTCTTTGGAACCATTCCTGTTATCTCAGTTTCAGCTTTCATTTCTCTTATGGTAACGTTAATAAAGACTCACTCAACATTTGTTTTTATCAATTTCTCTCTGAAACAGAAATTCACTAATTCTACTTCTTGACCAGGGTGTAGCTCTACTGACTCTAACCGCTTCACTTGACTCTTTAAGACCTAGAGCCTGTGAAACAGCTTCAAGCCTATGCCAATCTCCTTCGAAAACCCAGCTCGGAGTCCTTTACACGGCCATAACTCTAGCTTCTATAGGAACAGGTGGGACACGGTTCACATTAGCAACTGCTGGTGCGAACCAGTATGAAAAAACTAAAGACCAAGGAAGCTTTTTCAACTGGTTTTTCTTCACTACGTATCTTGCCGGAGCTATAAGTGCAACCGCCATTGTATACACTGAAGACAACATCAGCTGGACCTTGGGGTTTGGTCTGTCCGTAGCTGCTAACCTCTTCAGTTTTTTGGTTTTCATCTCGGGGAAAAGATTCTACAAGCACGACAAGCCTTTGGGAAGTCCCTTCACAAGTCTACTATGCGTCATTTTCGCCGCGGTACGCAAAAGAAAAGCTGTGGTTTCCACCAACGAAAAAGACTACCACAATGAATCTATCACAATGCCCACAAAGAGTTTCAGGTAGAAAAACCGGCTCGAAAACCACAGTAATAATGTTGCACTGAGAGGCCATTCTAATGAGTTCTCAAATATGCAGGTTCTTTAACCGTGCAGCGTTGAAACAAGAAGACGAGGTTAAACCAGACGGCACAATTCGTAATCCCTGGAGACTATGCAGCGTTCAACAAGTAGAAGATTTCAAAGCAGTCATAAGAATCATCCCTCTTGCGTTAGCTACAATATTCTTAAGCACTCCAATTGCAATGCAGCTAAGCTTAACAGTTCTTCAAGGTCTGGTGATGGACCGGAGGCTTGGCCCTAGCTTCAAAATCCCTGCAGGCTCTCTCCAAGTCATAACACTTCTCTCCACGTGCCTATTTATCATAGTCAACGATCGTTTTCTCTATCCATTTTACCAAAAGTTAACGGGAAAGTTCCTCACACCGCTCCAACGAGTCGGTATAGGCCATGCTTTCAACATTCTAAGCATGGCCGTGACTGCCATAGTTGAAGCAAAGCGATTGAAGATAGTACAGAAGGGTCATTTTCTCGGATCATCATCCGTTGCTGACATGTCAGTCTTGTGGCTCTTCCCACCTCTAGTCATAGTAGGAATTGGTAAGGATTTGATTCCCGATAATAATTCATTCTACTCGAGTTGAGATCAATCTAATCATGTTCTTGGTTTTGTCTTTTGGTTGCAGGAGAGGCCTTCCATTTCCCAGGGAATGTAGCTCTGTGCTATCAAGAGTTTCCAGAGTCTATGAGAAGCACCGCAACATCGATTACCTCGGTGGTGATTGGGATATGTTTCTACACAAGCACTGCTTTGATTGATCTGATTCAGAGGACCACCGCGTGGTTACCAGATGACATTAACCATGGAAGAGTTGACAATGTTTACTGGATTTTAGTCATAGGAGGAGTCTTGAATCTTGGCTATTTTCTTGTGTGTTCTTGGCTTTACAGATACAGAAACCTCAAGGATGATGATCATAAGCAGGATGCAAATGTCTCTCATTGATCTTTTAAGCTGGAGTCTGGAGAGAGAGAAAGAGAGAAAGAACATGTCCTTTGTTGTTATCATTTGCATTACTGTATAGCAGTGGGCTTTGTCTGAAAGTGTCTTCAATTTGTAGCTATTAAAAAACAATTTTTCATATGTAGAATTGATTTGGAAATTTGTGGTAATATAATCGTTTTTTTTTTTCTGTGATTCCTGAGTAGAAACTAGTATACACAATTGATGCTGAGCTTGTGATGCTTCTGTAGTGCCTAAGAAAACGATCTCGCGATTCTCGGGCTGCTTCTTGATGTTTTCTGTTTTTGACATGGACACTCATGACATTAGTGAGTATTTTTCAGGAGTTATGATTAAGGAAGATGGTGAATCTGAATATGCGGAAGATAACCAATTTTAAAAAGAAAGGGTTTAGGTAATGAAGCAGACGATGAAGACGATAATGGTATTGAAGACGATGATGAGGAATGAGATGATGAACCAGATGACTTATATGATGACAATAAATATTCTTCTGAGATGAATTATGGAGATATGGTGAATCTTGGATAAACAATAAAGCATCAGTAGCATCAAAGCTTGTCGCGGTGAGTAGTCTATTATCATTCAATAACTTGCTGATTGTTTTGTGGCCTAGTTGCATTGTTAATGTTTGATCAAATCCTTAGTAATAAAAGAAAAATTGGTCATTTTTTAGTAATTGCTCTACATGACATGTTAAGTTGACTTCTTGAATGTTATTAGCTTGAACGAGGTTTTGCTTTCACACAGGCTGTTATGTTCGAAACTGACAGAGATAGTTTAACTCGCAGCAACAACCGCTTTGAGTTTTTTAGTTTTTCTTGTGAGACGAGAGGCTGCTGCACATGGAGAATAAAAATATTGTGATCATCAGTTTGAATCATCTTGTTGTTGTTTCCTTTGCTTATATATATACTTCAGTATTTCTGGCAATTGTTGGAAAGTTAGTGGAACATCACTTCTTGCTTTTCATAAATGGCTGGTTCAGTTTCCCATGATGCAGAAGCACCGATGTCAGCAGATTCTAGCACCAGACGCTTTGGCGGCAGGATCACCTTTCCGTTTATGATAGGTAATGTAGTTTCTATGTTTTCATTATCGAGTTACTTCATATAGCCACAAAAAAAAGAAGAGACTTTATGTATTTTCTATGGTGCAGTCACTCTGTTTGGCCTGACATTAGCTACGTTGGGATGGTTACTGAACTTGATTGTCTTCTTGATCGAAGAGTTCAACATGAAGAGCATCGCAGCCGCGAAGATTCTCAACATTTTTAGTGGTTTTACCTTTATGTTCCCAGCCATTGGAGCCATTGCAGCTGATTCTTTCTTCGGGACAATTCCTGTTATCTCGGTTTCAGCATTCATTTCTCTAGTGGTAAAGTTGATTTGACTCGCTCTCCTTTTTGTCATCAATTCCTCTCTTCGAAAATTCTCAAACAGAACTCACCAATTCTACTCCTTGATCAGGGCTTAGTTCTGCTGGCTCTAACCACTTTGTTTGACTCTTTAAGACCCCAAGCCTGCGAAACAGCATCAAGCTTATGCCAAGCCCCTACAAACATCCAGCTCGGTGTCCTTTACACGGCAATAACTTTAGGCTCTGTGGGAGCAGGTGGGCTGCGGTTCACCTTGGCTACCGCTGGTGCGAACCAGTATGAAAAAACTGAAGACCAAGGCAGCTTTTTCAACTGGTTTTTCTTCACATGGTATCTAGCTGCCTCTATAAGTGTAACAGCCATTGTCTACGCCGAAGAAAATATCAGCTGGAGTTTTGGGTTTGGTCTAAGTGTAGCTGCTAATCTGTTAGGCTTGATGGTTTTCATCTCTGGGAAAAGATTCTACAAGCATGACAAGCCTTTAGGAAGTCCCTTCACAAGTTTACTTCGCGTCATCTTTGCTGCATTACTTAAAAGAAAAGCTGTGGTTTCCATCAACGAGAAAGACTACCACAGCGAATCAAAGAAGCCGCCAACAAAGAGTTTCAGGTAAAACCACCTCAAAAACCGCTGTTTCGGTCTGACTTTTTCCAAGAAAGAGTAGCATTGAGGCCATCTAACAAATCCTCGTGTATGCAGGTTCTTTAACCGTGCAGCATTGAAACAGGACAATGAGGTTAATGCAGACGGCACAATTCGCAAGCAATGGAGACTATGCAGCGTTCAACAAGTGGAAGATTTCAAAGCAGTCATAAGAATCATCCCTCTTGTGTTAGCCATAATATTCTTGAGCACTCCAATAGCGATGCAGCTAGGCTTAACAGTAATTCAAGGTCTGGTGATGGACCGGAGACTTGGCCCTCACTTCAAAATCCCTGCAGGCTCTCTCCAAGTCATAACACTTCTCTCCACTTGCCTGTTTATCATAGTCAACGATCGGTTTCTCTACCCATTTTACCAAAAACTAACCGGAAAGTTCCCCACACCGATACAAAGGGTGGGAATAGGCCATGTTTTCAACATTCTAAGCATGGCCATGACTGCCATTGTTGAAGCAAAAAGATTAAAGGTAGTAAAGAACGGTCATCTTCTTGAATCATCATCATCCGTTGCTGACATGTCAGTCTTGTGGTTATTCCCTCCTCTAGTCATAGTAGGAATCGGTAAGGAATTGGATCCAGATAATTTATTCGACTCAGAAGTGAGTTCAATCTATTTATGTTCTTGGTTTTGTCTTTTGCTTGCAGGAGAGGCCTTCCATTTCCCAGGGAATGTAGCTCTATGCTATCAAGAATTTCCAGAGTCTATGAGAAGCACCGCAACATCAATTACCTCGGTGGTGATTGGGATATGCTTCTACACAAGCACTGCTTTGATCGATCTGATTCAGAGGACCACCGCGTGGCTACCAGATGACATAAACCATGGAAGAGTTGACAATGTTTACTGGGTTTTAGTCATAGGAGGATTCTTGAATCTTGGCTATTTTCTTGTGTGTTCTTGGTTTTACAAATACAGAAACCTCAAGAACGATGATGATGAGCAAGATGCTTCTGTCTCTCTGTCATGATCTTAAAAGAAAAGGTCCATTATTATCATCTGATTCTTACGTTTTAAGCTTTGTCTGAAACTATGCTACTTTTTTCTGTTATTCCAAAACTTTCGTCTTCGTATTTGCAGCATTCTCTACTTTGGTCATTCAGTCTCAGGAGACTTTTATTAGCTTGGTAAAAATATTAGCAAGATCATTAGATTCTAAATGTCCATTAGATTCTAAAATCCATTTGATATTTTTGTTGTTCTACTAGAGATATGAAGATTCTCACCTAGAGAGTTGTGGTAACTTGACTGACAAGATAAAAGATACAAGGTTACATGGTGTTGCTGTTCTCATTGAGTGATCATGCAGTCCACTAAAAATGTTAGTGGAGGCTCCATTTGATCTCTACCTTATCCTTAATCATCCCAACCACTACCATTTGATGAGAAAAAGAGACCCACCATTAGAGAACTTGTGACCATAGAGCATAGTAAATTCAGAAGAAGAAGTGTTGTTGTTACTTATTCTCTAGAAGAAGAAAACTAGTTTTGTTGTATGGTTTACAGGCTCAATCATATATTCTACTAGAGAAATATATGACTGAGCCTATAACGAACGTCTAGTACCATAATCAATGATTAAAGTTCTACTTAGTCCACTTAATAATATTTGATGATCTTTATTGAAAGTAAATACATCTCAGAGGAACCTTACCATTTACACTCTTCTCTCTGATGTCTGATCAATAAAATAGAATGTGTAAAGGTAAAGTATACTCTCTGGCCACTATTGATGATTAGTGGATACTTGGGGTCTGGGAAAATTCTTTTTTACTTGTTTATTATTACATTCACCACGTGATTCTGGAACACGACAATAGTTGATGAAATGTCAGAATTCGGTTAGGTAATACATTATATAATTGGACTAAACAAGATCATTAGCAAATCATTGCACAACATAATTACTTTGTACTTGCTTATATATACTATTTAGTGTTTTTATTTCTAATTGCATCATAACACACAAACATAGTGCACGTAACTCCTCTGTTTCCTCTGTTTTCTGTCATGGCTAGTTTAGTCTCTGGTGATACAGAAGCTCAAAGCTCTGGCGATCCAAGCGGCAAGCGCGGTGGCTGGATCACTTTTCCTTTCATGATCGGTTAGCTAGTGTTTTTGATTGTTTGTTTGGTTTTATGTTTTTGAAACCAAAACAGTGATACATGTTAGATGATTGTTTGGTTCTGTGGTGCAGCTACGTTGTTAGGCCTTTCAGTGACTTCTTTCGGATGGGTAATGAACTTGATCGTCTTCTTAATCGAAGAGTTCAACATCAAGAGCATCGCTGCTGCGCAGATTTCAAATATTGCCAATGGATGTCTCAGCATGTTGCCTGTTGTTGCAGCCATTTTAGCTGACTCTTTCTTCGGTAACATTCCCGTCATCGCGGCCTCTGCTTTCATTTCTCTGCTTGTAAGTAAAGAAAGCATTCTGTTTCACCAATTCTCCTTTATGGTCTGATAAGCTGAGCAATATTAAAACGTTTGTTTAGGGCATCAGTCTCTTGACTCTTATTGCATCTTTGGACTACTTGAGACCCCGACCGTGTGAAACAGGGTCAATCCTATGCACATCGCCATCAAAACTCCAGCTCGGGATCTTGTATGCAGCCTTAGCTCTAGTGACCACTGGATCAGGTGGGACGCGGTTCACCATGGCATCCGCGGGTGCAAACCAATATGAGAAGCCTAAAGAACAAGGAAGCTTCTTCAACTGGTACTTCCTCACACTATACGCTGGAGCTATTACTGGCGCAACAGCAATTGTATATATACAGGACAATGCTAGCTGGAAACTTGGGTTCGGTCTCTGCGCTGCTGCTAATTTGATCAGTTTTATAGTTTTTGTCTCTGGGAAGAGATACTACAAGCATGACAAACCCATGGGAAGTCCCTTCACAAGTCTGATCCGCGTTATAGTCGCTGCTACAGCAAAAAGGAAGGCTGTGATTTCATCCAAAGAAGAAGACTATCACCGTGGGCTCGGAAAAGAGGCCAGGACTTCTGTTGCAATGCCCTCCAAGAGCTTCAGGTGAAAACAAAAATATTGCCTGATTTTATGAAAGTTAAACAAAAACTGAAAGTTCTTTACATGTGAAGGTTCTTGAACCGTGCAGCTTTGAAGACCGAAGACGATGTAAATCAGAAAGACGGCTCAGATATTAACATATGGAGGCTATGCTCTGTGCAGGAAGTAGAAGATTTCAAAGCCATTCTCCGAGTTTTTCCTCTATGGTTATCTATCATCTTCGTTAGCACTCCTATGGTGATGCAAACAAGTTTGATTGTACTCCAAGCTCTAGTCACCGACCGTGGGCTTGGTCCAAACTTCAAAGTCCCGGCCGGTTCCCTTCAAGTAATAATAATCATCACTGCATGCATTGTTATCATAATGAACAACTGGATTGTCTTTCCAATGTACAAGAAGCTAACTCATAAGTTGCTGACACCGCTTCAAAAAGTCGGTATAGGCCAGGTTCTCACAATCCTAAGCATGGCACTCTCCGCGGTTGTGGAGGCAAAGAGACTGAAAACAGTTGGAAATGAGCATCCCATGTCAGTGTTATGGTTGTTTCCTCCCCTTGTAATAGTAGGTATAGGCGAAGCCTTCCAATTTCCGGCAAATATTGAATTATTTTATGGAGAATTCCCCGAGTCTCTGAGGAACACCGCGACTTCATTGACCTCGGTGGTGATTGGAATCTCTTTCTATCTGAGCACAGCTCTTATCGATCTTATCCAGAGGACTACCGAGTGGTTACCAAATGACATTAACCACGGAAGAGTGGACAATGTTTATTGGATTTTAGTCATTGGAGGAATCTTGAATTTCGGCTACTTCCTTGTGTGTTCTTGGGTCTACAAATACAGAAACCTCAAGGATGATGATCATGAACAAGATCCAAAAGATGTTACAACGTAAAGACACAACATGTGCTGTTCTAGTTCTCTTTACATTAAGTATCTCCATGTCTTGAATCAATATCTTACATGCTCCTGTTAGCTTTTGTGTTTTTATTTGTTTGCAATTTTTACCATGTGTGTTTTTGTATGTTTACCACTTTACATATGGAACTACATTTAGAAAATAATACTTTCAAATTGAAATCATCTGATTCTTGCAATAGACCTCATCGCTTCCCTCTTATGCAATTGCAACAATCAGTCTCTTTCAATTTCAAAAAAAAAAAAAAAAACAATCCGACTCTTTAAAAAAACAGAGTATAACATGTGAGAAATATGGTTTACTTTTAGGGGTTTTATTTATTTTTGACCACAAAAAATAATCATTTTTGTATTTGGTGGAATAGTGATTTGGTGTTGTTAGTCTTAGTAACTATTTACTAATTATAGTGATGGGCAAATTTGTGAGTTATGGATTTTGAAATGTGTAATTAACATAAAATAGTGTTTTTATATAGAAAAAATTGTTGGGTACTTTTTAAAAATATAATAATTAAAAGATATTGTCTACAAATATTTGGTGTATAAGATGGTGGATGGTTATCTCGAGAAATATTTGGTGTACGGTGGATCGTAAATAGTTTGCGTAGACATAATTTAGTCTTATAAATTTTAGATGGTTTTCATGAATGGTGGATGGTTTTCATTATGACGTTGGATATTTCTCATGGACAATGGATAGTTCTCGTCGTATAAGACAGATAGTTCTCGTAGATAGTGGACGGTTATCGTTGTAGAGAATGTATAATTATTTATTACAAATAAAATAATAAAAATAATTAATAATAATAATTATTTTGTTAAAATAATTATTATTTTATCTTATTTTCAGTTTTCTAGGGTAAATGTAAATTAAACATTTTATCAACTCAACATCTTATTTCCTAATTGGTTAGAAAACATATAAAAAAAAAAAAGAAGGTATACTCAACATATCATTAACATGAAATATACTCATTCCTCACACTATAACTTAAAAACTACCTACTTCTTAATTATTCTTATAAAACGCCCTTGACCCAATACAAAACTAAAGATTAAGACATATTTTTTTTATATTCTTAGTGCTTTTTCAAAACAATCAACATTATAGAGTTATGTTTTTTTGTTATAATAGTGAATTGGTGTTATCTGTGTCTTACCAAAAAAAATAGTGCATTGGTGTTATTAGTCTTAATCATTATTCATCAATGTTCAAGAAAGCGGTAGGCGCTAAACGGACGATGACCTAACGCCTAGCCCCTAGAACACTTAATCAGGGTCAAGGCGATTTTAGATGGTTTATGCTTTTACAATATAAAATATTATAAATATGATATTATGTATACAAATCATATAAAACTATAATTAGAAAAAAAAAATTTAAATAATAAACAAAAAATTAGACAAAAATATTTCTTTAATTCATAGCAAAGAACACATAAACTATAACAATGTATATGGAGATAAATTTTATAAATATAAATTTATGTAGTTGAAAATTGGAAAAATACACTAAAACGAGATTTATGCTATTTTAGGCGGTCGAAGCGGTTATCTAGGCGTCGTTTGAGCGCCTACCGCCTACACCTCTTTTTAGAACACTGGTATTCACTAATTATATTGAGTTGCAAACTTGTGAGTTATAGATTTTTAATTGTGTAATTAAGAGAAAATAATGTTTCTTATGTAAATGAGAGTGATAAGTGGCCGGGGTGAGAGCAAAATCCAAATTTAATATGCATAATTTAAAACGTGCATAACCATAACACCATTTAGTGTGAACCTTCAAAAAATCACTTCCCAGTACACTTTTCAAGATAATGGAATTAAATTTTCATTAATGATTAGTCAAACTTTTGTTTTCATTTATTTATGTTTTGCTGATGATTAGTGGATACTATTATTGATAAGTTGTCTAAATTCGGTAGAGTGGACCATAAATGATCATTAATAAATAATTGCACAACATAATTACTATATTTTTGCTTATATATAGTATTTGGGGTTTTTTATATGACTGCATAATCAAAAACAACACAAGTCTTATATATAGTATTTGAGGCTTTTTCTCAGACTGCATAATCAAAAACAACACAAGTGGAAGTAATTTCCTCTGTTTCCTCTATTCTTTATCATGGCTGGCTGACTGGCTCAGTCTCTGCTAAAATAGAAGCTTAGAGCGCTGGCGATCCAAGAAGCAAGCTCGGTGGCTGGATCACTTTTCCATTCATGATCGGTTTGTGTTTTTTGGTATTTTCTGTTTTATGTTTTTGAATCCAAAACATAGACAAAATATTATGATTGTGGGGTTCTATGTGGTGCAGCTACATTTTCAAGCATTCCATAACTTCATTCGGATGGGTATTGAACTTGTTAGAGATATTCAACATCAAAAAATTTCATGCTGCCCATATTTCAAATATCGCCAATGGGTGTCTTGACATATTGTCTATTGTTGCATACATTCTAGCTGAATCTTTCTTTGGTAACATTACCATCATCTCGGTGAGTAGATTTCTTTTTAATTTAGATTGAAACTATTTTAATATATTAGATCTTTACGAAATAAATGTTTTTGATATCTTACCGAATTAAAAAAAATATGCTTATCATTTTCTAAGAGCAGTAACGTAAAAATTAGTGGCACTAAAAAAAATATGCTTATCATATCATGTGATGTAAACATATATTTTATACTCTTTAGATTATCTAAGCAGTGGGTATATGTCATGAATCTCAAACTTAAAATATTAAATCACCATAGACTTAAAATTTTATGTGGTTGGTAATAAGTGGTAGAAGCTTATTAAAAATATTAGCCGGTAGGGATGGATCATATTTAAGATTTCATTACTCATATTCAGATTCAGACCTTCAAGATATCTTAATTTTGAGTTTATTAATGGAAAAAATGCCATTTAAATCATCATTTTACTATTTTCGTTGGCTTAAAGCATAAATTCTGGACCTGATGATTTTAATCCTCAATTTTATATGGATCTGGTGATTTAAATCTTCAATTTTATGTTAACTTTCAATTAAATCATGAATTCTCGTTGACTAAGCCAATTGAGGCACATCGTTAACTGGATAAACTGAGCAATCAGACGAAGAGGAAGATGTAAATCATGTTGGTGTAGAAGAAAAATTATGTGATGGCTTCGAAATGCCAGTTATGCGATGACATCGTCTTATTGGTCCGTTTAGCCAGATAACAATGTGCCTCAATTGGCTTTATCAATGAGAATTCATGATTAAAATGAAAATCAACATAAAATTAAGGATTAAAATCACCAGGTCTAGAGTTTATGATTTAAACCAACGAAAATGATAAACTGATGATTTAAATGATATTTTTCCTGTTTATTAATCATAACTATTATGTTTGAAATAATTGGCATGTAATATCTAAATGTTGCAGTCCAGATTTGATCTTAATACTAACAAATTTTATTTTTTTTACATTTTTTTTAGATCCGTCTAACAAGAAACGATATGAACGAAAAGCATCATTATCAGTATATCTATATTGATTGAAGAAAAACACGCTCAATGTCTAGATCTGAAAGAAAATCATCATCATCAGACTGTATTTATGAAACAAATGTGCCATCAACATCAAAATGTATATATAAAACAAATGCACCATCAACAAATACTTACTTCATCATATGTTGTTGATGGCGCATTTGTTTCAGATATACATTTTGATGTTGGTGGCACATTTGTTTCAAAAATACAGTTTGATGATGATGATTTTCTTTCAGATTTAGACACTGAGCGTGTTTTTCTAGGATCAATATATAGATACTGATGGTGATGCTTTTCTTTCCTATCATTTCTTGTTAGACGAGTACAAAAACAAAAGTATAAAAAAAATCAAAACTTGTTAGTAAATTAAGACCAAATCTTGACTACAACATTTAGATATTGCATGCCAATTTCAAACATAATAGTTATGATTAATAAACCCAAAATTAAGATATTTTGGAGGTATGACTCTGAATACAAGTAACAAAATCTAGATATGATCCATCTCTACCGGCCAGGATATTTAATAAGCTTCTACTATTTATTACCAACCACGTAAATTTTTAACTCTACGGTGATTCAATAATTTAAGTTTGAGACTAATGACATATATCCGCCGCTTAGATAATCTAAAGAGTATAGACATATATTTACATCACATGATATGAATTTTTAAGTAAAGTTCATGACGGAAATTTTTTTTAATGCCATGACTTATTTTTACACTACTGGTATCAAAAAATGATAACATATTTTTTATAAATTCGGTAAGATATCAAAAAAATATCTTTCGTAAAGATATAATAGATTAAAATAGGTTCAGTTCAATCACTTGTGAGTCCAAGACTCATTGATTCTCTCATCCTTCTCTTGACTCTGATTGCATCATTGGACTACTTGAGACCTCAATAGTGTGAAATGGACTCAATTGTATGTAGACACCATCAAAATTATAGCTAGAGATCTTATATGCAGCCTTAGCTCTACTAACAACTGGATCAAGTGGGTCGCGGCTCACCTAGCTAGGAATCCGCAAATGCAAACCAATATGAGAAACCTAAATATACAGGAAGCTTCTTCAACTAGTAATTGTAACGCCCCGATCGCCAACTCTCTTAATGGGCCCCACGTCCTCTCTGGGTCCGTGGGCCAACCATCTTCCGACGGTCGGTCCGCTACGTCCGGGAGGCTTTAAAGACTTGTTTACCAACCCTACAAATCACCACATGATCTTTTCCTGTGTTTTTTCCTCACTCACACAGTTCCGACAATCACTTCCCGAAAGGTCACCTATCTTGAAATTGCTCCAGCTCAAGCACCCTTAACTGTTGAGTTTTCTCAGGACAGTTGACCGAAAAGATAAGTGCACTTTGGTGACATAGGTGGCCAGATCAATTCTTTTAAACCTCTCCGCAAGCACCACCATATTCCTGAAACCGGGGTGTTATAATTCACCCCCACTAACAGATCGCAACGTCCTCGTTGCACCCCAAGACCGTCACCCCCTACAGTGTGAGCCCTCTTGACTCCACACTCGTCAGGGTTCGGCTCTGAAACCACTTGTAACGCCCTGACCGCCAACTCTCTTAATGGGACCCACGTCCTCTCTCGGCCCGTGGACCCACCATCTTCCGACGGTCGGTCCGCTACGTCCGGGAGGCTTTAAAGACTTGTTTACCGACCCTACAAATCACCACATGATCTTTCCCTGTGTTTTGTCCTCGCTCACACAGTTCCGACAATCACTTTCCGGAAGGTCACCCATCCTAAAATTGCTCCAGCTCAAGCACCCTTAACTGTGGAGTTTTCTCAGGACAGTTGACCGAAAAGATAAATGCACTTTGGTGACATAGGTGGCCAAATCAATTCTTTTAAACCTCTCCGCAAGCACCATCATATTCCTGAAACCAGGGTGTTATAGTAATTCTTCACATTATACACTGGAGCTATCATTGGTGCAACAACAATTGTATATATACATGACAATGCTAGCTGAAAACTTGGGTTTTGTATCTACGCTGCTGTGCTAATTTGATCAGTTTCATTGTTTTCGTTTCTGGGAAGAGATTCTACAAGCATGTTGATGGAAGTCTTTTTACAAATCTGAACCATGGTACATCCAGAGAAGAAGACTATCACTGAGGGGTCGAAAAAGAGGCCAATACTTCTGCCATGCCCGCAGGGGCTTTAAGTGAAAAACCAAAAGAGCTTGCTTGATTCATGACACTTAAACATAGAGATAAAATGTATTTACATTTGCAGGTTCTTGAACCATGCCGCTTTGATGACTAAAGATAACGTGATAGTTGAGAATTAAATTAAAACGGATTTGGTAGTCCTCCAATATGCACTAGACTTACTTTTTTAGAGTTAGTATTTTCGATATTAAGAATTATGTGAAAATTGTGAGGCGGTTGACCGAGTTACTCGAAAAGAACAGTTTAAAGATAATTCAGAATCATAATAGGTCCACCAGTCTATGGGACAACCTTCATTCGGTATTATTCGGTAAATATAAAATGGTTAATGAATAATTTCAATAAATAAATGATAGGGGAATGCAGATCATATATTTTTTCCTAGCTAAGAAAATAAAAATACGTATTTTTTCTCCCATAAATGTTTTTAATTTAGATTTTTAAGCTTTATTTCTACATAATATAATTCTTCATAGTTTTATTTTTACATAAAAATGTTGATATTTAAGACATATTTAATAGTCGTTATTCTCCGCATGATTTTTAATGGCTAGTCAATATTCAACGATAGTATATATGTATTTATTAAAATACTATCCATGATAAACCGCAAATATATATCCAAAAAATGCATATATGCAATCGCAAAAATGCAAATGCAAATGCAAATGCAAAAATGCTCTAAAAACTGAAAATGCAAAAATTTGTGTTACGCGATTGGGGCCAATATATTGTTTTCACGAAGGTATCAACCATTTTTCTCTTGTCGCATGGTTAGTATATATATCTACCGTTGATAAAGCTATACTTCATGAAAATCTATCTTATCAAAAGTATATGATATCTTTGCGAAAGTTCATATTTTTACATGGTTGTTTATCAAAATATATATTCATATGTATATATTTCGCACTAGCATATGGCAAAGTACAACATAAAATATAGTGGAATTTTTATTATTATTTTATGTGGATTATTTAGCGGAACAATCGAAGAAATGGTAACGAAAGATTTGTTGTACATCTAATTTGCTCTCGTTTTTAGGATTTAAATTTTACCCCCTACTTTTTCATAATTTTTGGTTATTTTTCAATATTCATATTTCTTATTTTTTCTTTTGGATTTTTTAAACTTTTTTTGTATAAATTTTTATGTCTTAAATTATTTTCACATCGACCTACCGAAAAAATAAAATTAGATGGGCCATATATTAGAAAAGTTGATATATGTGTTGTGTGTTTAACAAGTCACAGTTTTATAATTAAGGCTAAGATTCAAGATTTAATGTCCTAAACTATATATGAGTTCGCTTACTTTTTTTTTTTTTTTTTTATGTTGTCACATTTCTTGCTAACAAATCTACCATGACGTTCTTATTTATTTTTTGAGATTTAAAAATTAGCTTTTGTTGAAGTGTTTAGTTTAGAAATCTTGCTCGACTCACAATAACATTTCTGTATTATGAATCAAAGTCTCATGTGACCATTATGTCCTCGTCCTTTTTTTTTAATTCTTTTGTTTTTCTATATTTTTCTTCGAACTTATTTTGGGGGTGAAAAAACAACTTTGTGTTTACTCAAAAACAGAAATCTGAATTGAAGATTTTTTTTTAGTATCCTTTTGAGTTTATTCAAAAGTAGTAATTATTAAATTACATGAATATCAGTCAATACTTCAATTAAATTTGGAAATTTTGACCCATTTTGTGAGAATTATGTCATATTTGACTAATCTTTAATTATAAGAAATTAGTCAAATATGTAATCAAAGAAATTTTTAGCTACAATTTATTATTTACATTTTTACTACTTATTATATTTAAAATAAAATATATGAGTCAACTTTGTATCATGAATACATAGATAATTGTTTCAGGAAAGAGATTTATTTATTCTTAATATTGAAATATGTTTTTGTGAAAGCTACTAATTTCAAATTTTTATATATATTTAGGATACAAGTTTGACTCTTATAGTTTTATTCCCAAAACAAGATAATAAGTAGTCAAAAGAAAAATTAGTAGTCAAAACTAAAGTTGATATTTCTTGTACCTAAATATTTGTCAATTATGAGACTAAATCTCAGCCAAATATGATATAAAGTTTTAGTCAATTTACAACAGTCAAACTTCCAAACATTAGTGTAATAAGTATTGACCAATTTTCATGAAATTTAATATTTACTTCCATTTTTTTGTCTATATATACCCGGTAAAAAAAGTATTAAAATAAATTCATCTTTCTGACCAAAATGAGTTCGAAGAAAAACAAAGACCGAATGGTAACATTCTCGAGACACCAAAAAGAGATCCACACAAAGCTCAACGAGCTTTCCCTTCTATGTGGTGCTGATGTTGGGTTTCTTGTAATCTCCAGCACCGGGAAACCGTACACATTCGGCAACCCTTCCTTTGAAGCTGTTGCGAAGCGGTTTCTCAACGACGAGGGGTCCTCATTGTTGCAACAAGATGCTGAGCATAAAATGAAGATGGAAGAACTCTACAAAGTCTACAACAGTCTTGTAGAGAAGGTTGCTGAAGAGGAAAAAAAATTGATGATGGCAAAGGCGGAGGCGGAGGCATTACCGGTCGAGAGCAACGCGTGGTGGAAAATCGACCCGGCAGAGGTAAAAGAAGAGAAAGTCGCAAAGCAGTTGCTTGAGAAGTATGAAGAGCTTTATGAGAAACTGCAGAAGGAGATTGCTGCAAGGAACCATGGAGGAGATGTACCGTAGATTTGAATCGTGGATCATTTGTTCTATTCGTGGTCCCTAAAAGTTATGTATTTTTAAAGAATAATTATCACATTGGTGAAATTCACCGGAATAAAATTATGTTTTTGTTTTTATATTTTAACTATGAATATTGAATGTGTCTTTTAGACATTTTATTCCTAAAACAATCACTTGCGTGGAAGAGTTCATTAGTAACAATGTCTTCAATTTTCTGAATACCAGATTTGTTGTTGTGTTTCGTTAAAAATTCTATTAAATTAAAATGCCTAACGAAACCTCAAGAAACAATGTTACCAAAGAGGTAGTGACCTAGTGATAAAAGATGGTTAGTTTCCTTGTGGACCAGTTCAAACTCTCTTTAGCACGGAAGCGTATTTTGAAAATCGAAATATTCAAAAACTAATGGATATTAAAGGAAATTAATGAGCTAAAGGTATATCGTATATATAAGGCACTTGACTTCAAAGACATGTTCTATACGATTGTCTTCAAACAAATTCTCGCCTCGTGTAGTCACAATGACTCTACTCCCTGCACCAAACCATGTGGCGACCTTCTTGACATCCTCTAACTGTTTATTATCATCCATACCATTACCAATGGCAGAACTTTACGGAACTAACACGTTAGTAAATTTTGATTGAAGCAAAGCTGGGTCTTTGTAGTGATCATAATCGTCATCCATTTCGACAGCTTTATGGAGAACACATACATCAAAACGGTGAGATATCTCTTTATACACAACTGACGTAAATGTTTTTTTGCCAAGGCATTTCCCAATCCAAATGCCAATTTGGCGTACTTTATAGTGTTTAGAATCCAAACTCAAGAATTCATAAATGGGTTACTAAATCTACTGTTTTTCTTTTCTTTTTTGTGGTTTTCATAACTTGCTTTTAAAAAAGGTTCACTTGCATTGAGATTAAATTATTTTCTTTAGTTCAAAGATGACTATTAAATCAATCGAAGAAGAGAAGACACTTAATATCTCAAATTATTTGATATTTAAACGTTTGTGTTGTTTCTAAATTAAATTTGAGTTTTACTTATTATTTTATGCTTATACTTTAATGATTTTTAACATAATAAAATAAATTTTATATGCATTAATAGTTGGACACATGTTAATCTTTTATTTGCTCTCAAATATGAAGTGTAAAGGAGATCTCCCTTCATCTTTTATATAATGGGCAGATTTGGACAGATTTGTGAGTTATGGAACTTTAAAGTGAATTTAGAGTGAATTTAAAGTGTAACTAAGAGAGATTCTTGCTTAATAAATGAGAGTGCCAAGAGGTACAAAAAAAGTGAGAGAAAAAACTATAAAGTGAATTTAGAGTGAATCTTGTTTAATAACTAAACCATAAAAACATTTAGAGTGAATCTTGATAAAATCACTCTCAGTATACTTTTGCAGATTATGGAAATTGACAAGATTAATCAACGTAAAGTAGTTTTGTTTACTTTATTTATGTTTTGCTTATGATTATTGGATACTACTATTGATAAGTTTTCTAAATACGATAACGTATTATACAAGTGTACCAAACAAGATCATTAACAAATCATTGCACAACATAATTATTCTGTACTTGCTTATATTTAGTGTTCGGGGATTTTTATTTGCACAAATCTAAGCTTCCTCTGTTCTCTGTCATGGCTCGTTCACTCTCTGGTGACACAGAAGTTCAGACCTCTCGCGATTCAAGCAGCAATCGCGGTGGCTGGAGAACTTTTCCATTCATGATCGGTTAGTGTATTTTATGGGTGTTTTGTTTATGTTTCTGAACACAAAACATAGACTAATAATAGTGATTATAATGCTAAGGCTCTATATGGTGCAGCTACGTTGTTAGGCCTGTCCATAGCTTCATTCGGATGGGTAATGAACTTAGTCGTCTTCCTAATCGATGTATTCAATATCAAGAGCATCGCTGCTACGCAGATTTCAAATATTGTTAATGGATGTGTGAGCATGTTGCCTGTTGTTGCAGCGATACTAGCTGATTCTTTCTTCGGAAACATTCCCGTCATCTCGGTCTCTGCCTTCATATCTCTGCTTGTAAGTCTGACACTTAAATATTATCTTCTGTGTTGTGACACACAAAGTTTACCAATTGATAAACGTTTTCAGGGTATCCTTCTCTTGACCTTGATCACATCTTTGGACTACTTGAGACCTCCACCGTGTCAAACGGGGTCAAGTCTATGCCAACCGCCATCACAACTCCAGCTCGGGATCTTGTATGCAGCCTTAGCTCTAGTGATCATTGGATCAGCTGGGACGCGGTTCACCTTGGCATCCGCGGGTGCAAACCAATATGAGAAACCTAAAGAACAAGGAAGCTTTTTCAACTGGTACTTCCTCACACTATACTCTGGAGCTATTACTGGCGCAACAGCAATTGTATATACACAGGAAAATGCTAGCTGGGAACTTGGTTTTGGTCTTTGTGCCATCGCTAATCTGATCAGTTTCATCGTTTTCGTCTCTGGGAAGAGATTCTACAAGCATGATAAACCCATGGGAAGTCCCTTCACAAATCTGATCCGCGTTGTAGTCGCTGCTACAGCAAAAAGGAAGGCTGTAATTTCATCCAGAGAAGAAAACTATCACCATGGGCTTGGAAGAGAGAGCAAGACGTCTGTGGCAATGCCCTCCCAGAGCTTCAGGTGACAGCAAAAAGCTTGCCTCATTCACTAAACTTATTAAACAAGAACTGAAAATAGCTTTACATGTGCAGCTTCTTTAACCGTGCAGCATTGAAAACCGAAGACTACTCTGTTAATAACATGTGGAGGCTATGCTCAGTGCAAGAAGTAGAAGATTTCAAAGCCGTTTTCCGGGTTCTTCCTCTGTTGCTCGCCATCATTTTCGTTAGTACTCCCATGGTGATGCAAACAAGCTTGATTATACTCCAAGCTCTAGTCACAGACCGTGGGCTCGGCCCTCACTTCAAAATCCCGGCAGGGTCCCTCCAAGTTATAGTAATCATCACCGCATGCATCGTTATTGTTATGAACAATTTCCTTGTCTATCCCATGTACCACAAATTAACCCATAAGCCATTAACACCGCTTCAAAAAGTCGGTATAGGCCATGTTTTCATCATTTTAAGCATGGCGATATCCGCCATTGTGGAAGCAAAGAGGCTGAAAACAGTCAATAATGGCCATACCATGTCAGCGCTATGGCTGGTTCCTCCCCTTGTGATAGTAGGAATAGGCGAAACCTTCCAATTTCCGGCGAATATTGAATTATTCTATAGAGAATTCCCCGAGTCTCTAAGTAGCACCGCAACTTCATTGACCTCAGTGGTGATTGGAATCTCCTTCTACCTGAGCACAGCTCTAATCACTCTGATCCAGAGGACCACCAAGTGGTTACCAAATGACATTAACCATGGAAGAGTTGACAATGTTTACTGGGTTTTAGTCATTGTTGGAGTCTTGAATTTCGGCTATTTCCTTGTCTGCGCTTGGTTTTATAGATATAGAAACCTGAAAGATGACGATCAAGAACAAGATCCAAAAGATGTTACAACCTAAGACACAACATGTTCTGTTCTTATGTTTTTGTTTCTTTGCAATTTCTAGCATCTCTCTGTTTTGGTTTTACTTTGAGATTTGTTGAAATCGTTTAAGAGCATTTTGAGAATAACAAGAATGTAAAAGAAACTCATTCATTATCCTTAGTCCTTAAACAGCATTACAATTACAAACGCATACTTCTATGAAAATAAGACAACAAAAAATCTTTTAACAACTACATAACCACTCTCACTAGTCTTGCTTAACTCTAACAAAGTTTAAAATGTGAGAAACGTGGTTAGGTTTTTTTTTTTTTTTTTGGAGAAAAAGAAAATCATTTCTGTATTTCTTGATACATAACTTTTAAGGACTTTCTATCGATATCATACAAAGTGACTCTATGATTTATGAGTATATTAATTTTTAATAAAAGTTATTCAAAGTTCTTTGTCTAAATATACTTTTTTGAGGCTTTGAGGAGTGGTTGCTACTATTGAAGATATGGGCTCATGCTTTTTTAGTTGTTTATTACATTCACCAACCTGATAATGGGAAACGACACTAGGAGATGGACTGTCAGAATCTGATTTGGAATTTTTGCCACCAAAAAAGATCACTACCTAACATAATAATTGTTATGGATTTGCTTATATATAGTGTAAGGTTGTTATCTATAACATACTAACACAAGTCAAAGTACCTCCTGCTTCCACTAGTTGTTCTCTGCCATGGCTGATTCAAACTCTGGTGACACAGAAGCACATCGCTCTAGCGATCCAAGCGGAAAACGTGGTGGCTGGATCACTTTACCGTTCATGCTCGGTTTGCGTTTTTTACTTTTTTTTTTTTTGTTTCATGTTTTATGTTTGCATTGCTCTAGCGACCCAAGCAGAAAACATAAACAAATATTGTTGATTGTGAGGTTTTATGTGGTGCAGTTACATTGTTTGGCATGTCCGTAACTTATTTCGGATGGGTAATGAACTTGATCGTCTTCTTGATGGAGGAATTCAACATCAAGAGTATTGCTGCTGTTCAGATTTCAAATATTGTCAATGGACTTGTCAACATGTTGCCTGTTGTTGCTGCCATCATAGCCGATTCCTATTTTGGGAACATTCCCGTCATTTCGGCCTCCGCATTCATTTCTCTGACTGTAAGTTTAACACTCACTAATTCTCTTATGTGTTCTGATATACAAAGCTTACCAATCTTGAAAATGTTTTCAGGGAATCTCTCTCTTGACCTTAATCACATCTTTGGACTATTTGAGACCTAGACCATGTGAAACGGGGTCAGTTCTATGCCAATCGCCATCAACACTACATCTTGGGATCTTGTATGCAGCCTTAGCTCTAGTGATCACTGGAACAGCTGGGACGCGGTTCATCTTGGCAGCCGCTGGTGCGAACCAATATAAGAAACCTAAAGAGCAAGGAACCTTCTTCAACTGGTACTTTTTCGCATTTTATGGTGGAGCGATTACTGGCACCACAGCAATTGTATATGCACAGGACAATGCTAGCTGGAAGCTTGGTTTCGGTCTCTGTGTCGCTGCTAACTTGATCAGTTTCATTGTTTTCGTCGCCGGGAAGAGACTCTACAATTATGACAAACCTTTGGGAAGTCCTTATACAAGTCTAATTCGCGTTTTAGTCGCTGCTACAGTGAAAAGAAAGGCTGTGATTTCATCGAAACACGAAGACTATCATCAGCGTGGTCTCGGAAATGAGGCCAAGACTTCTTCTGAAATTCCCTCCAAGAGCTTCAGGTAAAAACCAAAACGTTTTCTGATTCATGTAACATAAACATAGAGCTAAAAGAGTTTTACGTGTGCAGGTTCTTGAACCGTGCAGCATTGAAGACCGAAGACGAAGAAGATTTAAACCCGAGTAGTGACACAATCAATAACGTATGGAGACTATGCTCTGTTAAGGAAGTAGAAGATTTCAAAGCCGTTCTCCGACTTGTCCCTCTCTGGGCATCCGTCATGTTCCTCAGCGCTCCCATTGCAGTGCAAATGAGCATGACTGTCCTCCAAGCTTTAGTTATGGACCGCGACCTTGGCCCGCACTTCAAAGTCTCTGCTGGGTCTATGCAAGTCATTCCACTTATCTCTGGATGTGTCTTTATCATGCTCAACAACTGGACTACCTATCCCATGTATCAGAAGCTAATCGGCAAGCCGCTGACACCGCTTCAAAAAGTCGGGATCGGCCATGTTTTGACCATCCTAAGCATGGCGATATCCGCCATTGTGGAAGCAAAAAGGTTGAAAACAGTTGGAAATAGCCATCTCATGTCAGTGCTATGGCTTCTTCCGGCTCTCGTGATTAATGGAATAGGCGAGGCCTTTCATTTTCCCACGAATATTGCAATATTCTATGGAGAATTCCCTGAGTCCCTGAGGAACACCGCGACTTCATTGACCTCGTTGGTGATGGGAATCTCTTACTATCTGAGCACAGCTCTTATCGATCTGATCCAGAGGACCACCAAGTGGTTACCAAATGACATTAACCGCGGAAGAGTTGACAATGTCTACTGGGTTTTAGTCATTATAGGAGTCTTGAATTTTGCCTATTTTCTTACCTGCTCTTGGTTTTACAAATACAGAAACCTCAAGAATGATGATCATGAAGAAGATCCTAAAGATGTTACAACCTAGGACACGACATGTTCTGTCCTCGTTTTGCAAACTCACTGTTTGCCGTTTGTGTTTTCTTTTACCAATAAACTAGATCCGGACCCGCACATACGTGCGGGGTTTTATTTGTATTTGAATTCTTATATGTATATAACATTTAAGGCTAGATACCCGTTACATGTATTCAATCTGTTGCCCGATTTGTACCCGTCTCAAGAAAAGGGTAGTCGTGATCTTAGGGTCGGGTAAAAGATATTGTAATTCTATTACTTGTGGCCGGTAGATAAGGGTCGAGTATCGAGTATTTATATTTTGTAATACTTATCTCGTTATTCGATCTGTTTCTCACTTTACTACACGACCCGTAAATGTTTTATTTGTGTTTTATAATATTACTAAAATTTTATAAATATATCTTATAGTAAAAAATAAATCCTAAGTCTGTAATTTTATACTTTTGGAAATAGAAATATATGTTGTATAGTTTTATGTTTTTTTTTTGTTTTTTTAATATATTTTTATGTATATTTATGTTGGGCCTATTTTGCATATTGGCCCAAAAACCTTTTTCTTGTTAAGTGGCTAACGACACGTTTTCTCTCCCGTAGCTCCTCTTCTTCATCGAACACTTCTTTTCTTCTTCTTCTTGCTTAATCATGATGGTATTATCCATCTTCTTTTTCTCACTCTCTTCACCTTCACTTTTTGAGCTTTTTGTTTGAGAGATAGGGACTTTCTAGACGTTTTCTCTTCTCTTATGCAGTATTAAGCAGAAAATCAATTTCCAATAGACACCATAAAAAATAAAAAAATTGGTACTGCAATTCGTTCTCTTTCCCAAAACACACAAATCTTCTTCTTTTTTGTTCTTTCATGCTTAGGGTTCTTTCGATTAATAGAGTAAATCATTTTCTCCATCAACGATCAGAGAATCTAGTCGATTAGTAATCTAGGGTTTTTATTTTCCGTTTTTGTTTCTGGTTTACTCACCTATCGCGAGGAGGACGATGCGGTTTCTGAACTGCGAGTTAGAGTTGAAGATGATGTAGTTCAGAAATTAGGCCATTATATTAAACTTAGTGAGGACTTCGATGTATTTCTCAGGAAGCAGAGCATGAAGAGGAAGAAGATTCTTTATCACCGTCTTCTTTTTCTTCTTGTGGACGGGATAGATCTGTGTGGTTATGTTCAAGCTTGGTCTTTTATTCGCGATTCTAACTACTTTGGGTCTCGCTGGTTACAAATGGCTCGCTCCTTCAATCATGGATAACGTTTAAAATTTCCTCCTTTAAAGATAATTCAGTGCATGTTCCATTACAATGGTTCCTTGTTCCTAAAATCCAGTGTTGAATTGATGTTGAATTTGTTCTGTTCTGTGGAAATTTTAGATCTTTATCAATTGTGTTCTGTGGAAATTTTAGATCTTTATCAATTGGGTTTGATTAGGATTTCATCAATTAATCATCACTCTTGAATAAGATCGTAAGTACTGACCACAAGTCTGTATGATGTAATTGTTCGTCTAGTGTAGAAAAAAAGTTCATTTATAAGATTGGTTCATATTTCATGTGAATTTGTATATGCCATTACCTTAAGATCCGATTAGCCCAAATAAGGTTTGAAGTTAATGTCCTGTGGCTAATTTTTGATACCTATATAGCTATTGCTCTTAACATATCAAGTCCATAACATCTTTGGCTCTGTAACAACTACCTTTGTTTGCAGGAGCTAAACCATCTCGCAAAATGGGAGATCAGACATTTGCAAACCCGGTAAATATATTTTTGTCAAAATATAATGCTTTATTTTCCCTTGTCATACTCTTTTTGATATTGATGATGGATGATTCACGTTCATGGTTTTGAAATTTTCTTTCCAATTGCATTCTTTAGCTATCCACTAAAATTTACTTTGGAATGGACATTTTTATTATTGCTCGTGATACTTTGTTCAGCTTTTAATTCTTAGAGCTAGCATCTCTTGATCTTATGGTTGAAGAAATAGTAAACAATTGAGAAGAAAGAAATATTGCTTAGTCTTTGTTTCAAATTTGACAGTTCATAATTATTAAGGTCACATAGTCACTGCTTTGAGTGTTTTTTTTTTTTTTGAATATACAGAAATCATTACAATGTTAAAAGAACATCTGCTGAAGAGTGCTATATTTTGGCATTAGAAATTCGATAGCAATCGATTTTGAGAAGTAGCTACAACAAAGGTAAATTCTCTTCTTGAATCATCTTGAATGTGTATTAGAGCAATAGCAATAGAGACATCATCATACAAATGAGCATGACTGTCCTCCAAGCTTTAGTTATGGACCGCGACCTTGGCCCGCACTTCAAAGTCTCTGCTGGGTCTATGCAAGTCATTCCACTTATCTCTGGATGTGTCTTTATCATGCTCAACAACTGGACTACCTATCCCATGTATCAGAAGCTAATCGGCAAGCCGCTGACACCGCTTCAAAAAGTCGGGATCGGCCATGTTTTGACCATCCTAAGCATGGCGATATCCGCCATTGTGGAAGCAAAAAGGTTGAAAACAGTTGGAAATAGCCATCTCATGTCAGTGCTATGGCTTCTTCCGGCTCTCGTGATTAATGGAATAGGCGAGGCCTTTCATTTTCCCACGAATATTGCAATATTCTATGGAGAATTCCCTGAGTCCCTGAGGAACACCGCGACTTCATTGACCTCGTTGGTGATGGGAATCTCTTACTATCTGAGCACAGCTCTTATCGATCTGATCCAGAGGACCACCAAGTGGTTACCAAATGACATTAACCGCGGAAGAGTTGACAATGTCTACTGGGTTTTAGTCATTATAGGAGTCTTGAATTTTGCCTATTTTCTTACCTGCTCTTGGTTTTACAAATACAGAAACCTCAAGAATGATGATCATGAAGAAGATCCTAAAGATGTTACAACCTAGGACACGACATGTTCTGTCCTCGTTTTGCAAACTCACTGTTTGCCGTTTGTGTTTTCTTTTACCAATAAACTAGATCCGGACCCGCACATACGTGCGGGGTTTTATTTGTATTTGAATTCTTATATGTATATAACATTTAAGGCTAGATACCCGTTACATGTATTCAATCTGTTGCCCGATTTGTACCCGTCTCAAGAAAAGGGTAGTCGTGATCTTAGGGTCGGGTAAAAGATATTGTAATTCTATTACTTGTGGCCGGTAGATAAGGGTCGAGTATCGAGTATTTATATTTTGTAATACTTATCTCGTTATTCGATCTGTTTCTCACTTTACTACACGACCCGTAAATGTTTTATTTGTGTTTTATAATATTACTAAAATTTTATAAATATATCTTATAGTAAAAAATAAATCCTAAGTCTGTAATTTTATACTTTTGGAAATAGAAATATATGTTGTATAGTTTTATGTTTTTTTTTTGTTTTTTTAATATATTTTTATGTATATTTATGTTGGGCCTATTTTGCATATTGGCCCAAAAACCTTTTTCTTGTTAAGTGGCTAACGACACGTTTTTTCTCCCGTAGCTCCTCTTCTTCATCGAACACTTCTTTTCTTCTTCTTCTTGCTTAATCATGATGGTATTATCCATCTTCTTTTTCTCACTCTCTTCACCTTCACTTTTTGAGCTTTTTGTTTGAGAGATAGGGACTTTCTAGACGTTTTCTCTTCTCTTATGCAGTATTAAGCAGAAAATCAATTTCCAATAGACACCATAAAAAATAAAAAAATTGGTACTGCAATTCGTTCTCTTTCCCAAAACACACAAATCTTCTTCTTTTTTGTTCTTTCATGCTTAGGGTTCTTTCGATTAATAGAGTAAATCATTTTCTCCATCAACGATCAGAGAATCTAGTCGATTAGTAATCTAGGGTTTTTATTTTCCGTTTTTGTTTCTGGTTTACTCACCTATCGCGAGGAGGACGATGCGGTTTCTGAACTGCGAGTTAGAGTTGAAGATGATGTAGTTCAGAAATTAGGCCATTATATTAAACTTAGTGAGGACTTCGATGTATTTCTCAGGAAGCAGAGCATGAAGAGGAAGAAGATTCTTTATCACCGTCTTCTTTTTCTTCTTGTGGACGGGATAGATCTGTGTGGTTATGTTCAAGCTTGGTCTTTTATTCGCGATTCTAACTACTTTGGGTCTCGCTGGTTACAAATGGCTCGCTCCTTCAATCATGGATAACGTTTAAAATTTCCTCCTTTAAAGATAATTCAGTGCATGTTCCATTACAATGGTTCCTTGTTCCTAAAATCCAGTGTTGAATTGATGTTGAATTTG